CTGCTGCATACAGTAGTGTACATAGAATATGAACTGTTTGCAGATCCATTTGGTAGAGTCATGCAAGAAGACTTCGGAAGGAATTAGGACAAAAAGCTTCTCTTCTGTCTTACACTTTCTGAATGTGTGCAGTGAAATTTTACATTTCCTTCGCTATTTTCTCATAATAGACTCTAGATTTTTTTATATTTTCTCTCTTTAAAACAGTAAACAACTGCTACATTCTGCTTTTATATACCTTTCTATCAAACTTTTTCTGCTTCCAAAGAGATTAGTGATTTCTCCTGATAAGGTGAGAAAAGCCAAATCCAGGGATTTCAAAGGTTTTCAATTTCAAGTGTCGATGCTGTATTACTAATTACAAATCTATGCAGGAAAAATGTCTTTCTGGAAAATAAGTGATTCAACTATACTATCACATTTTTCTGCTTCTTTACATTGATTGATATTAGGAATACCACCATGTTTTGAAACACTCACTTAAGTAAGAAAAGGAATTATTTTCTCAGATTAGGTTATCATTGCATATTAACAATGAAAATATGCTCAAAGACTCACAGACATACTCATCCACACACAGCAAATGTGTGCATAAGTGTGTGTGTGTGCGTGTGTGTGTTGAATGTGAAGTGGACTGTAGTGTGTATTTCAGGGTAGGGGCAAGCCTGAAGTTGTAATGAAAATTATTTTTTAGCTCCTGTTCACATCTAAATACTATCATGGCTTCACTTTTATTCATTACAAATATTGGCAGCAATGGAACAAACACTTTGTCTGGAATCAGGTCAGCAAGAAAACAAGAAGGAAACATAAATCCATTGTGTGAGAGGAACTGAGAACAATTAAGATATATGTAATATAATTGCTATTACAGTTTTACCTTTCTTTCTTCCAAAACTTATGTTTGTTTGATTTTTTAAAAAGCCATATTTCCTATAAATTTTTACTCTACTATTTCTGCCAAATGATAAATTCTTTCTAATTTATTGTCTTCTATTCTTTTTAAATACTCTATGTAGGAACTTAATGATAAAACATTTTTTCATCTGATTCCTTTATTAATTTGATGAATTCAACAGTGAATTTTCTAATTTTGGATCATCCTGGTAATCCTAATATAACTCTATTTAATCATGACATTTTTAGTATAGGTTTCATATTCATGAGTTCAGTGTTTTTAATGATCTTTGAATTTCATTTATGAAAATTGGCTTATTTTATTTACTGTTTTTTTTAAATCCATTTTAGGAATTAATCCCAGAATATTTCCACTTGTTGTCATTCTTCAGAATACACATTAGGAAGAAAGAACATTTGGAGAAAGTAGACATAATAAGTTAAAAAGTGGCAGAAAATTTAAATGATCCAGGGATTAATTCTTATAAAAGATGAGGATGATGTGGTTTGGATGTTGCCTGCCCTCCAATGATTCTTATGTTGAGAGCTTAGTCCATCAGGGACACTATGGGCAAGTAGTGGGCACCTTTTAAAAAGTGGGTCCTAGAAGGAGGTCCTTAATTGACTTGGGATCACCCCTTCTGATGGGGTGAAGTGGCTCTCCTATACTACCTGTACAGTTCTCTGTGAGAATTGTTTTAAAAGTGGGAATGTCCCCACCTCACTCTGGCTTCCTGTTTGGGAACATGACTGCTTACTCCTGCATGCGCTCTGAACATTGCTATCCTATCACTGTGGGACACAAAGAAGAGGTCCCTCACCAGAGCTGAGCCAATGCTGGCACCATGCCTTTAAACTTCCCAAACAGTAAGTAAATAAGCCTCTTTGCTTGAGGTTAGTCTGCTCAGGTATTTCATTGCAGTGATGCTTAATGGTCTAATGTATAGATCTCTGTGTGTGTGTGTGTGTGTGTGTGTGTGTGTGTATGTGTGTGCTGCTGGGGAATGAACCCAGGGCCTTGTTCATGTGAGACAAGCACTCTACCAACTAAGCTATATCCTCAGCCCGAATGCATAGAATTATACTAAAAGATGTATAGAACTATTTCATAAACACAATGCAAACAAAATATTAATTCACCAATTTAAAAAAATGCATTAAATATAGTATGATTAAGTACAGTTATAACAGGTATGCAAAGATGATTCTATATTGGTAAGTTCATTGGTGAAATTCATTACATTACATTTATTACATTAATATACTAAAAATATATGACAAAATGTTATCAAATTCAATCTATACATATAGCTTTAAAAAGATAGAAAATAGAGGGAGATTATTAATTTGGTAGCAAGAATATTTAAAATATCTGTAGCAAATATAATGGTTATTAGAAAAATTCTAGGCACATTGCATTTAATATTGGTATCAAAGCATGACTAATGATATTATTTAACACAATACTGAGACATCCTGATAAAATAATTAAAAAGAAAAAAATATGTGATATGTGTAAGTCTTGTGAAAGAGAAATTAAATTGTTTTCAAAGAACATGATCATCTATCTAGAGAATACAACTACTTTGCGAGAGGCACTAATGACTTACAAAACACCATTGCTATATGTTAGCAGCACTCACCTAAAAATAAGATTTTAAAAAGCCACTTATAATAGTAACAAAACTATAAATTATCCAGGAAATAAAGATTTAAAAAATTGTTTTGTGGAGAAAATTTTGAAACTCTAGCAAAGAACATAAGATTTGGTAAATTAACTTGTTTTCATGCTCTTAATTGGTATGTGCTAACATACTAAATTTATCAATCTTAAGGTAATTTTATAATTCTTTTTAATTGAAATAAAAATTCAGATTGGTCTATAGTAATTAAGTAATCTTTTAAAAGAAAACCTGGGGACCAGTGCACATTCCTTTAATGCTAGCAGTTTGGGAGGCTGAAGCAGGAGGATGCAAGATTTAGGACACCTTGGACAATTTAGTGAGAACCTGTCTCAAAAGAAGAAATGAAAACCATGGGGAGGTTTTCTACCTCAGTGGTAGAGCATCCCTGAGATCAATGCCCAGTACTGAAAAATAAAAAGGATAATTAACTGAGGGATCTTTATTGCTTAATAAGATGGACTTCAAACCTTTGTTGGAAAAATTTAATGTTATTATAGGAGCAGATAAATGATATTGACTGGTGGAGATAATGAGAAATGTGATAGACCAAACAAAATAGCATTAAAAATGCTAGAGGAAGAACAAGATTATCAAGCATATAAGATTGGTGAAAGTGTTTCATACATCTAAATAAATAAATAAACCAAATCTTATTTAAGCATTACCAATAAAGGTAAATGTATATGGATTATATTTACAAATAGATAAAATAATTTAAATATCCCTTTGTTCTAAATTAGTAACAAATATAATTGCAACAGAGATGTGTTATGATGGCATGTTTTGTGTCAGGCACTGTGTCACTCGATATGGGCTTCATTTCAAACTAATAAAAACCTGTGTGGTAGATAATGTTATCCAATACCTCAATTTATAGACAGGAAATCCTAGGATCAGAGATGTAATAATAAAATCCTATAAACTGTCAAGTAGCAGAACTGACTGGTAAATCCAGGTTTTTTGGTTTGAAAGTCTTCACTCCCCAAAGAGGATAATAGAGAAGTTTTAAAGGATTATGTAGGACAGGAAAAGATGTTTTTAAAAACATCAGCACATGTGCATGTAGTGGGTGTATTATAGGTATACATATACTGACATACTGGTCACAGAATAGACAAGTATCAGATACAGTGTTTTCTACCTTTAAATGTAGTATTTAATCTTGACTCTAGTCACTTTCTTTCATGTCATCATGTGTCTATGAGGCAGCAAATAGCCTGTGCCAATATCCAAAGTTTGCAAGAATGCTAAACTTCATAATGTGAGAATCTTGAAAAAAAATTCTAAATATGAATAGCTACCTTGCCAATTCATAAGATGTATGTTTTGTTTTGATATCACTGGAATTCATAGCTGTACCTGATTTACACAACTTGAAAACTCCAACACTTTTTTCTCTATTTACCTCTGCCTCTTACAAGTCTGAGCTTAATTCAGGGTCCCTGATTCATTTCCCCACATATCATTATAGAGTAGCTCCCGGGCTTGAAACTTGTCATCAATTTAACTTCTTTTGATCCGCCTTCAGAAGTTTAGTCACACAGGCAGACATTCTAGATTTTGGTTTTAACTAGCAAAAGAAGCAACACTGATCCTCTCTAGCAATAGTGTAAACATTCCCAGAACTTCCTGAACAGCATTTAGCCACAAGGGAAAAAAGCATTAGTAAATCCTTTTAAATAAAATGTTCTCTCTAGTGGTGTGTTATTTCTCTCATGTTGGCTTTTGGCAGTTCTATGGTATATTCTCCAAACTCATTTCTTATGTTACAAGTATGAAGTTTTATGTTGAAACTGCCTTCTTAAAATATACACAATAGACATTATACAAAAATTACCTGCATAAATGTGACAGCCAGAGTAGTTTAACTTTTGATTGGAAAACTTCTGAAAGTTTATCTTTTTCTTTTTGAAATTGAGTACATTTCATAGGATAAATTATATTTTATGTTGATGATCATTAATAAACTGTTTTTACCAATTTAAATCTATGAGCAAAGATGTCTTCTCATTGTTATATATTCTAATAATGTCTACGTTAATGCATAGCCACATGTGTTCATAGTAGTAAAAGTCACTGATGCAGAAGTATGCACAGGAATATTACAGTTTTTCTTTTTCTATTAAATAGTTCTAATGTAAATTGCTCCTGAAGTCGTAGGCAGAAATTGGATTATCTTACAAATTTTAGAATGTAAAAATTCACTAAAATATCAAATTGCACATTTGAAGTGATAGAGCTATTTTTGTTAGCTTTTCAGCTTAAAAAGTGTATTACAATAATTACTCAATAGAATTTATTAGCATAGTTTTGAAATTAATATATAAATGCATCAATTATGTCATTTTGCTACTAACAAGTTATAAATAAATTGGCATAATAAAATATTCATCCTGAAGTAAAGGAAATACCACTTACCGTTGATTCTCAGAACAGGATGAAATATTTGTTTCATCTGTTGTAACAAGGTGGAGAGAGAGAAGTCAGACTTGTATATATATTACACCTATTTCCTGCTTTGGCAAAGTCTGGTTGTGCAAGTAAATCTTGGTCAGCAAGGTCTGCCAGAGCATTTGTCATACAAGTGGTTTCAAATTTCATTGCTATTTGTTTTGCTGAAATTTTGACATTATTTGATGATTCTCCACATTGCTATCAAAAATAAATTGTTATAATTTTTTACTAATATGCATTTGTAGTTCAATGCATATGTTGCTATAATTTATCCACATTTTTGTCAATCAATACTTTAAAAATTCTTAACCAAATTATTCTCATCGTAACATCAGAGTTTTCAGGATTACTCTATAAGAGTAGTCTATATTGTTAAAAGCTTAAGATTTATCGTTTGATGAACAGGGTCAAATTTCTGTACTAATATATATGGGGAAATCATTTTTTGACTAAGTTTTGAAATATGTGAATGGGAATAATATTACCTTTAAGGTGAAAATATGATGGAATATGTTCAATGGCTTTTCTTGTAGTATGAATTTTCTTGTTATTGTTTCCTACTTTGTGTGCATCTTTTCTTCTATGTCTGGACAAGCTTGCCCCTAATGCTGGTGAACTATGGGATTGCATATGATTTTTATGAGAGGTTGTTTGACCTACTAAGCTAGAGGTAGAAATTCTCATGCAAAGTGGACCAAAAATGAAAAATACATATTTAACTTCTTATTCACACTTACTAATTTTTCTCTAATTTTTTATTTATATTTTTATAATGATTATGTGCACCATGCTACATAAGGTATTTTGCTTGCCAAATATTAGCACTTTCAGTATAAGCTAAATAAATATATGTGTTCCCTTTGAGTCAGAAACTCCCATAGCTATAATGTACTAACAAAGCAACAATCTTCTAAACAATTGTTTCTATTCACTTTGGTTCCCTTATCTCCCACATTATTTTTTCTGCATTTACAACCACTATGGTCATTGTTGGTCCTTCACAACATGTTCCCTAATTTTAGGAGTATGCTGAAACTGTTTTTCATTTGTTTATCTAATCTCTGTATTAAAAAGGTAAATAGTTTCCTTATATGCTATAATAAGTTTCAACTACTCTTCTAATGAAACTTATCCCTGAGTCTTTTACTGATCATTACTATGAATCATTACACTCTATTTAAGGAATGCTCCAGGCTGGGGATGTGGCTCAAGTGGTAGCACTGGGTTTGATCCTCAGCACTACATTAAAAAAATAATAATAAATAAATAAATAAAATAAAGATGTTGTGTCCACCGAAAACTAAAAAAATAAATATTTAAAAAATTCTCTCTCTCTTTCTTTAAAAAAAAAGGAATGCTCCTTTTCTTACTTCTTGAAGTTATTTTTGCATTCTTGGGCTTTGTGCAGAACACTCTAAGCAGAAAGGCTATAAGAGATACATAGGAAATATGGCTACATTCTTAGGCCACAGTGCTACTCTGCTGCAAGACCCTGTGGCATCTGGATACTACCTTTATGTCACTTTTATGCTACCCAAAACTGATTAGTTAATGCAAAGTTAATTAGACTCCTGTGTTAAAAAATTATCACAGCCCTAGTTTTTGTGAAGTCACCAACTGCTTACTGATTAAAAACAGTCTTTAGAAAATGTCAGGTTAGAAATCTACAGTGTTTCTCATTGTGGAAATCTCAGTTTTCTTATCTCTAAAATACAGATTTTTCTATTAGAGATTTTCCTTGATGAACAAAAACCATTTTATATATATATATATATATATACATATATATATATATACATATATATATATATGTATATATATATATATATTGAATATATAACTAAACTCTTAATTTAGTTTTAGGTATATGATAGTCTATAAACATCATTATTAGCATTTCTATTTTTACCTCCCCCAAAGCCATAAAATGGGCACATAAAATGTTTCTATACATGTATTTTGAATTTCTAATTCAAATGTATTTTTGGCAGGCATGGGACACATGTTACTTAGGGGACTGAAGAAATAGGTCACTTGAGCACAGAGTTGAAAGCTAGCCTGGGCAACACAGAGAAAACCAATCTCAAAAGTAAATAAAATATATAATGTTTAATTGATTTTATGTGTAATAAGAATTGTAATGCATTCTGTTGTCATATATAAATAAAAATACATAAATAAGTAAAAGTTAAAAAAAGATTTCAGGAACATTTATAAGAATTCTTTCCTCCCTGTGATGTTATAGGAAATAATAGTATAACTTTTTGAGAAACTTAAATGTTCAAGGCCTCAATAAAGTCCAACAGGGTGACTTTAGGAAAATGACTGACCATCTCTGGTTCTCTGTATTCCCGCTAAGAAATGGAGGGGCATGGGATCAGGTGCATTTTAGAATTAGCATTAATTTCACTGTGTACTCATGAATTGATCTTATAAATGAACTGTTACTTTGTTGAATTATCTTTAAAATAATGGTTTTATTCGGTGTCATTAATTTCTAGGAAAATGATAGTTTACATGTTAATCTAATTGCATTGGTCTTTGTTTCCTAGGTTCTAATGGTTAACTTTCTTCTTCTTATCATTCATATGTCTAATTATATGAACAAATATCTAAATTGTAAATTATTAATGTGTTCTGTTCTTCAGTGTAAGATCCATTTACACCCACACACGTGTACACACACTTGTTTCCCAGGTCAAGTTTCTTAGAAGCAGAAATTGAAACACTTAGATTGCCTATGATTTGTGGATGAAGTACTCTTCAGCAAAAAGCTGTACTGAAGAGAATAAGGACAGGGAGGGCAAAAAGGTAAGGAAGAACATGGTCTTCTGGAAAGTCCAGCCTTCCCTTATTAAAAGGGGTAACATTCCAGGCAGCCACTTTTAACAATTATAATTTTAATTGTTAAATTTGCAGGGTGAATTATTTTAATTCAATACATGTATATGGTATGTAATGAATTTAATGTTTCCATTTCAACCATTTTGTGAAAATTTGAACATAGTACTTGTTCATATGTATGGGGTATAGTATAATATTTCAACACAAATGAGATGGGACAAAGGGTTAAAATGGGCAGTCGGGAAGCTTGGGCTCCTTCAAGATCAGGTTTCTGTGTAGCAGGACTGAAAAACTACAGACTTGAGCCAGGCCTCATCAAGGTCACGCCAACTCCTATATAAGCAGAAAATTTAAAAGTGAGGCATCTTGTTATCGGTAACTGTTCTGTACTCAAATTGACTTTGTTTTAGTATGCATCTATGAGAGATAACGTAGAATTTCTGAACTTATAGTCAGTCAGTCAGTAGAGGAAGTGGAGAGTTGAAATTCCCTGACAAGGTGGCTTTCATTGGTCACTGGCAATTCCCTTGATGGAGAACAGATGCAGGCACTTAGTAGCCAATATCCACCCTACCTGGAAAGCAGAGGAACTTTCCCTGGAATGGAATCTTTGTGATACCTCAACAGCTTTTACGATATTATGGAGCATTTGAATTATTATTTTAATAATAATATGCATAGTTTAAAGTGTTAGAAAAGAGTTAAGGCGTTTATCCTACACTTGACTCATGTATGTCACTGAAAAATGAGAGGGCAGATGGGTGCATTTATATATTAAGTCACTGATTCTTGATGTCCTTAGTTTTGATCCACTTTTCAGATTTTTCTGTAAGATAGGGATAAAAATAATAATGTTGAGAGAATCAAATATATTTTATGTGTGGAAAACAGTTTTTATGAGTCTTGCACACAATAAGTGAAACAGAAAAACTAGCAATTCATAAATGTATGCAAAATGGTGAGGTTATGAGAACTAGTAAGGGAGATTATTTAACACAGTTTTATTGGATAAAATTCAGTTTTGATATACTGAAGTCATTATTTCTCAGTATAAAGTTCATAAAACTAATAAATAATTCCTTGATTACATATATATATATATATACACATTATACACACATATAATGTATACACACACTTACATATATGTGTGTTTGTGTGTGCATACATATATATTTAGTGTTTTACATGGATTTTCTGGTATTTAGCTGACTTGACAACTGCAGATGGGAAGTTAGTAAATAAATGTTGAAAACTGATGAGAAGAATAGTTATGTATTTGTCAAACAATTTTTCTCTTTGATATTCTCCTATTTAGCATAAATAAATATATATGGGACAACATTTTGCAGGAAGAAAAAAGTAGTTTTTTTTTTCCCATGATGGAAGGAGCTGAAACATGTATACCAACTCTTACCCTTGTAGGATATAATAGGAACTTAATAAATATTTGTTGAAAAATCTCTAAGTAAAATGTGAGATCAACAGAACATAGAAACATGTCAGGCAATTACTCCTTAAAGTTGCTCAGGATTCTCATTTATGAAGCTGAAAGTTAAGTTTGTTGATGTTTTCATAATTATGATCCTACCGAGTATTCTATGAAAATGTAGTTGAAAACACAATTTTATAAAGATCATCCATGATCTTACCACTCAGAGACAAAATATTTTTACATTATATTTATAAATACAGAGTAAATATTGTCCGTGTTGCTTTTGTATATTTTGTTTTTATTTTTATTTTTTATTTTGGGGAAAATTCAGATTTACCAGCATTAACACAGAAATATTACATGATCTATCTAGAAGATGATTTTTAGAAATCCAGAATTTTGAAAATCATCTATCATTGTATGAATTTTTTAAATGTGTTTCTTTCCTTCAAAAATATAGCAGCCCCTCAAGTTTTTTAGAACTGCTATGTTTCAACAAAATTTGTTCCTACCAAATATCATGTAGAGGTTGGCCTCCAATGTACTGTGTGAGAGGTGTTGGGGCCTGTATGAGTGTCCATTGCTTTTCTTGTGGGAATGAATTCTTACTGTCTTGAGACTGGATCGATTACCACAAGAAAAGACTGCTACAAAATGAGCATGGTACCTCCATGATCTCCCTCTTCACGTGACCTCTTCCATACAAGCTTGCATCCCTTCTCCTTTTCACCGTGAAGCTCTCTTGAGTCAATAGGATGGACTTGCCAGCTTCTTCAACCGT